TGTTGGATAGCCAAAAAAACAAAAGAAATTAAAGAAATGACTATTGTTGGGCTCGAGCCACATATTGAGTCCATCCATGAGGTACTCTTCTCATCTTAGTCCGATATTATACTGAGAAGTGTGGGCAGAAACATACGAAAGAAATAGAAGCTTTAGAGGTACACTGCAGTGAAGAGCTAAAGAAGAAACTACATGAACAGCATGCAAACAAATGTGAAGAACTTTGCAAGTTGCGTGAACAAATGTTGAAGGTAGATTGAGAGCATCTGGGGGTATTCAATAGTGAGCAACATTCTAACAGGAAAGGGATGAGGTCTTGGACAAGGAGAGGCTTGCCACACATCTGAGAATGAACGAGATGGCGGAAAAGTAGGACACTCTTTAAGGCCGACTTGTGATGACACTTCCCCTGTCATCAGATATGAGCAGCAGGCATTAGATCAAAGGATGCGAATAGCAAACGATCTTGCTCAGCAACTTGAACGTTCAGAAGCTAGTCGCAGGGAGGATAAGCAGTATACACAAGAACTCCTTGCTAGGTGCAATAAAGAATATGCTCAAAGGTGACGCTGTGCAAGTCAAATCTAGATTACGATATCTTCAATTTTAGAGAGGAAGCTATTCGAAAACAATACGAGAAACTGCTTAATGAGTGTCAGAGTGCATCCCAAGCAAAAAATCAAGCAATGAAGCATTCCTTTGAGATGGAACAATCAGAATGGAACATCTCACTGAATGAGCGTATCATGAGGGAAGTGAGAAAAAGAGAACCAGAAATTGAGGCCAGGTATATCGATCTAACACCTGGAACAAAATTTTTTGACAAATTTCTGCGGTTTAGGTGTATACAGGAGCGTAATAGAGAAATAGATCTTATAATTGATCGCATGGAAAAGGAAAGGAACGAACTTGTTGCTGAGCATCGGAGTGAACAAGCAAACAGAGTACAAGAACTTCTACAGGAAAATAATGTTTTGCTAAATCAGCTCAAAGAGAAAGAAGAAAATTACATGGATCTTTGCAAAACCGCCCTTGAGGAAAGTTTGCATTTTCAAGACATTAAGTTTGTATAAAAATTTAACTGCAGGGAAAGGCACAGTCAAATGCAGAACGGTCAGAAATGAATAAAAGAATGGAAAAGTTCAAGGACCAACTAAGAAGTCAAGGTTGTGTCATTGAACAGCTTACAAAACAAGTATTTTTTTTCTTTTCAATATTTCTTGAGTTTTAAGTTGCTGTTTTTTCAGATTGGTTTTGAAAAGCAAGAGTCAGATAAACTCAAGAAAAACTTAGAAGCGTGCATGAAAAGACACGAGCAGGAAATAGAGAATGCGAGAATTGAGCTTCAGCAGTCTCGTTGTGAAATGGAGAAGCTTAAAATTCGAAAGGTTTCATTTTTCAAGGCATATGGAATCTCACAATTGATTTCAGGTGGAAGAACTAGAAGAACTGGAAAATAAGGTCAAGCTGGCAATCGAAAAGAAGAATGAAGTTATTCTTGGTTTGCACAGCGAGTTAAAGTCTGCTCACCAACACATTCGACACACGGAACAACTCCTAGAACAAAATGCTAGCTAATATTGTAAGAAAAATGAATTATAAATTTATTTGCCTCTCTCTTTAAGAGGATTGCTATAAAGTGAAACTCTGGTCCACGTGTCACCAACCTACATCATCTTCTTCACGTTCAAGTACAAACCTTAGCAATTCCAGCGGCAAGATGAGAGAGATTTCGAGAAAGAAGTATTTAGATGTCAATTCTCATATAAAAGACCACGTAAAACATTGTAACAGTGATTCTGGCGATATTAACACCACCTCATGTGAGATTAACACCGCTTCAGCTAGATTAACACGAGGGAAGGGCACTCTCCCTCAAGTGTTTTACCTAAAGGGAGGGATTGTGCCGCCCTCTCCAAACTCACTAAATTGGAATGATTGGCAGAAGTTAAATCTGAATTGTCTAGATAGTGTAGAGTAGGCAAGACTTATATGGCTCTGTGATCAATCCCAAAATGAAGTGGCTATCAATCATGGGCGACTATGCAGCGATCACTATCCTCCTCCTGGGATCCTGGAGCCTGCTCCAACTTTTAATTATGGATTTCTTATGTTCCATCTCCAGGATGATGAATTTAGAATCTCTTGGAACTTTCTATGCAGGCATTTGCTTTCATTTCAAGTACAAGACTTGCAGAATAAAAGAAGCCAGCTTTGATTATCTACAAAACCTTGCTTTCTAAAGTTTACAGCTATAACTTTCAACTGGTTATTTTAAAATTAATATTAAAATGCTTACTCTTGATGCTAAAATGCTTGAAAATACAATGTACCCAAAATATTTTATACTTCTCCAAGCGGAGCTGGGATCCCAGCTAGTACTATTTCAAAACCTTTTATGAGAAATAAAAAAAAAGAATAAAGCAATTTTTATAATTATCAATTAAATTAACTCTCTCATTTGCAAAAATTGTATTGAGTCTATGCATGAAATGGAAGCCCACTTTACTCAAACTTTGGAAATTATTATTTAGAGGATTCTCCACTACACTATATGAGAAAAAAGATTGTCCACTCACATTAGCAATTGTTAAGTATAGTGTAAAGTTTGTGTGTATTTAGAGAAAGAAGTGCTCCACCAAGGAGAACAACAATGACTCAATTTACAAGAAAAGAGTATATTTGTTTGGAAAGAGTATGATTATTTTGGTTTACCCTTTATCAGAGAGATTAAAGTAGGTTCTGATTTACTGGGAATGTGGTTTAGCTTTCAAAGTTTCTACAGACAGGTGCTTATCCATTACATTTCATAAAAGAGCATTGGGAAACATTGAGTGAAAGTGAAGTCATTGCCCTTCACATGGTAACGGTTTGAAGTTTCTTCTCCTATAAGGAACTCTCAGCTTGTCCGAGTTTGATACTTACGTTAGCACTTGGGCTCCTAATGTTCCTAGAGGATTCTTATGCAACTAAATTCAACAGGTGCTAAAGATCATTTGGAGGAATGGCTGTATACCTTTAAGTCGGTGATAGACCTTGCAATGAGTGCCACAGTCTATGCTCTTATCACTTACACAGCATTCCTTACACGGCCTTGATCGTGTCTGTAGGAAAATCTGGGTTCCAGATCAACAGAAAAAAAAAACCTTGCTGCTAGAAAAAAAAAAAAAAAAACCAACCAGCAGCTGGTACTTCAGTTTGGTTCTTCCAGGCCTTCTTGAGGGAAATAATAGTTATTAGCTTCATTAATGCATTGTGTAAAGACGGGAAATAAAAACAATAATCGATGTTATTATTTGTCTGTTTTGTAGAAAATAGGGCAAGAAACTTACCTGGTTGGCTCTTTTGTGCTCATTTGTGTGAGTCTCAAAGAGTGAGTTTATAGGTCGCTGCACTTTTCTTCTGTCATGCCGCATCCATGGAGAGGAAAAATTTATGTGAAGATTCAGCAGCTAGACAGGCAAATGAAGGAAGCAGGTACCTCTAAGACACCAACGTGGAGGGCATTTTTCGGATAAACAAGAAACAAATGTGACACATCTAATGCCAGAGCTGTGAACCGAATCGTCTCAACCTTGAGGCGTGACTGAATCACCTGCGATATGTAGGAAAGACATTGGAAGGGCTTGTTAGCCAGGAGACTTTATCATATATACAATGATGGCTGGCTGATAATCCGGTCGGCAATAGGTTCAATGTACTTATTTTAGCCCTCCAAAACACTCGTGCAAGTTAAAGCAAGAACCCAAGTTTGCCATACGAAGATCACACCAAGCACTGAGCAGCAAAGATGTGGTCCACATTTGCTCAGATTCTCGATGAATTCCATAAGACAATGTGGGAATCATCAAGCTTGTATACGCTGACCATTTGCCTTTATATATAATCTACTTTTTACTTGATACCACGCTGACCATTTGCCTTTAATCTACTTTTTACATTGAAGATCCACCAAAAACCATGTTGCTTGAGGTTCTTTCTCTCGTTGTCTCACATCTTGTACAAAAGCTTGCGTGATACAGTACCTGGCCAATGACACGCACTTAGCAAAGATGTGAGCTCCACTTCGTTGTGCACAGGGGAGAAGATTCGGCAATGCTGGAGAAGGGATCGGATCAGTGCTTTATTCATTCTACCCATTTTTCTGCCCAGCTTTTCCTGCATTTTCAATCAAGTCGAGTGACTGATGAACTTGAAAAGCAAATGAAGATACCAGAAAGGCACCTTATGTAAAAGCCCAGCCTTCACTCAGCCTTTCACTCATCCGATTCCTGAAGGAGGTCCGTAGCAGCCACCTAAGCTCCCGTTGCAAACCTTTTCAAAATGAACCTGCACCCAAAGCCTGCTTTCTACTTCATTAATGGACTTTACCATCTCGAACTCATCAAAACTGTCACACAAGATTGAATGCACAAGTAGAAAATAACACAAGAACGAAGTTTAAGAAGCACTTCACAAGAGAAAATGTGTCAGTGAACAGATTATACATTCTCTAAGAGGTTGGCAGCTTCAATCAAGATGGCTGCAAGAAAGTAGAATATCACAAAGACACGGCCATGCAAACTTTGGATATAGAAGTGTGCCTGGTTTGAGTTTGGGTGTATGGAACCCGAAAGCCATTTGAACCAGCTATATTTTCGCGTAGTTGCCTGGTGCCAAGAACAGCGTTGTCTCGACCTCCTGTACAAAAGCATTGGAGAGGAGTACATATGGCGATGATCGCGTGGGTGATACGCTCCCCAGATCCATGGCTGCCTGTGCGGTCTGGTCAGTGTCACAATGCAAACCACAAGCACGGAGCAGAGATGTGAGCTCCACTTCGTCTGGGACGAACAGAATGCTCATTGCTAGATCGATCGCGTCGCCCAACCGGCCGATCCGTGCCAGGAGACCCATCATGCACGAAAAGTGTGATCCCTCAGCCCAAACACCGTGATCCATGAGCAGCGACTGGAAGTGGTGGCAGCTCTCATTGATCACAGAGGACGGTGAGGAGTGTCATGCCATCGGGATCCACTCCCGTTATCCACATTGAGCGCATTGTTGGAGTTGGATCCATTGTTGGAGTGGCCGGCAATCATTGTGTTCCAGAGCGTCATGTCTGGATTGGCGATGCCGGAGAAGAGAGCCTGCACTCACTGGAGCTGCCCGGTCTTGGAATAGACGTTGAACATCACCGTGAGGGACAGCTGATCTGGCTGTGTGGTCGCGGACTGGGTCATGGAGTGGAAGAGATCTGCGGAGCTCGGATCCCAAGACACCAAAGAAGAAAAATTTTCTGTGGTCATTACCTTTGGGTCAAATGGCATAATGCCATAGACTTCCAATTCTCTGTTTAGCTCTTTCAAGTCTAGTATGCAAAACAAAAGAAAGAAACGGCTTTAGCAACATTTACCAACCAAAGAATTGACATGATGATCTGAGCAAATGCGAGGAAGTATCACTTCTTTCCCACCTCGGCTGGCACTTCCCTGATTTATAGAAAGTCTACTACAAAGATACTCAAAACTAAGAAACCTCACAAATGCTTATTATCTTAAATTGTAGTGAATAGCTGTCCACCAGTTTGCATTCGTGTTGTTTTGTGCCAAGTCTGTAACAAAGCAAAGATATATTAGAAATTGAGCAAGAAAGAAACAACAAAGCTGTAGTCCAGTGCTAAAACTGCATTCAAAAGGTCACCATAACATATATGAACCTTCAGGTGAAACTTCTCTTAGCCACGAAAACATATATGTTTAAAGGTTTCCAAGTTAAATTTACTTCACCTCTAAGTCCCAAAGTGGAGCTCAAGATGATGCATGAGGTAGTGGTCAAGGTGGAAATCCAACAAGAGTAACAAGTTTGAACTAAAAGCTCTAACTCGGAAAGTCAAAAGCAAGAGTGGACCCACAAAGAAGTGCTCGAGGAGTGAGCACGAATCAATCAATAAGTGAGTCTTTAGAAAGGGATATGAGACAGACCAACACGTGGACTAAAACTTGGTCCAAGGACCGAGACCAAAACTAAAAAGACAGAGTATAAGTTCGAGTCCAAGTCTGAGGGTGAAAGCCCAAAGTGATCATCTCTCAGACCTTGGGGGGTTTGGTAAATCCCTATGGGATACTAGGGGAAGGACTCTAGTGGAACCAATTTGGCTAAGGAAGGGTAGTGTGAGCAAGGAAGGTTACACACATGTGTTGGGTGATGATATAAGCGTTAAAGAGTTCAAGGCTAGAATAAACATGAATGGACAAGTGAGGTGACTTGGTGAAGTGTTCAAGAACCAGCCCTAGCTCTCCTAGAAAATCAAATGGCCAATTCTCTCAATCCAAGTATAGGTGGCACTACCCACTTAGATACCTTATATAGCTTATCAAAACCTTGCTCTAGCCATATAGTTAGGGCACCCTAGTGGCAGAAGATGAGGGGGAGTACCCACAAAAAGTGTGTTGGGCCATGGTGTTTTAACATATTGTCCCGAACTCTCAGACCATGGAAAAGAAGACGAGCAGTCCTTTTGCTTAGGGACCAAGGGTTATGGTGAGGATGTCTCAAAGGTTAGTGGGACTTAGTGAAGGGGCCTTTGGGCCCTAGATCAATGGCAGTGTTGATAAGCACTGCCATGGATAGAGAGAGACTTGGTGAGAAAAAAAAAGGGATATTAGGGGATAATGTTCCCTATGTCTTAGGGCATCTTAAGATGTTTAAGTGTGGTCATAGGATGACCACTCATGGATAGATTTTCCAATCTCAAAAAGACAGGACCATGCTATCAGTGTTTTTGTTCTACCATTGAGATATTGAGAATGAACATGCCTTTAGTGTAAAAGGCTAGTATGTTGGTAGAGTACCTTTGGGTGTTTGAAGTGGGACCAAAAGCATAGAGCACTTAGACCATGTGTGAAGTCGGTGTGGTTGTGGAAGCTAGTAAGTACCCTAAGTCAAGATGAGGACTTAACGAGGTTGTGAGTGAAACTCCTCTGAGAATGCTAACTGATACTTTAAGTACATACCTAAATCCTTGGGTTGTTCTAATATTTATTAAAAGTAACCCCAACTACCATTTCAAGGGCATATATCTTCACCCATATTTGACATCCTATAGTTATCAACTCTAGTCTCATATTCATGAGCACTATCCTCAACTATATAAGGATACTTTTATGACTCCTTTATTGTCTAGAAGTTCTTATCCTTCATGTGATCCCAACTATAGGTTTTTACCATAACCATATTAGCTAATTTGCTAAGTCAAATGTTTATATAGATCACATCCTCAACTCTCTAAGAAAAACCTTCTACTATTCTCGAGATCCTAAAGTCGTTCTCTTATTGGCCCCTTTGTATCCACCACATTCCCTACAAGTTCACATATGAACTAAAGTGGAGAGCTACACCCCATGACATGCTATTCTTTAAATGTAGCCCCACTCTTGGGACATTCAAATATCAACACCAAATGGTGATATACTTAATGGCTAATATGATTCAGACTAAAGAATAGTTTTGATACAATGTTGTAAGAGATTAAATTTTCCATTCTACTTTAGTCACTTAACCACACTTTTGACCACTTGAGAATATGAATACAAGAAGTTATATTCAAGTATAGTAGCACCTCAAAAGAATTTATGAGGCTAATGTAAGTGACCAAATTTTTCATTCTACCTTAGTCACTTAACCACATCTTCAACCACTTGGAAGAGTCTCATTCATAACCTTTATAAGACCTATTCTCAACTTGGTCCAAGTGCTGTGATCCTATGATAGACACCCAAAGGTGCCATTGACTTATCAGCCCATTACACTAAGGTTATGTCCATTCAACTTTGTTTCATTGGTAGTCCAAAACCACCTGTACTACAGTCCCACCTTTCAAAGATTGGGCCATTTATCCATGAATGGTCATTCCAAGACCACATCTTAACATCCTTAAGATGTTCGAAGACATGGGGAACACCCTTCCCCAATGTCTCTTCTTCAGTCCCCACCAAGTTGTAAGCAACCAAAGGGAACGACTCGAGAGATGATCCTTGGGGTTCAAATATAGAGGGAAAGGGCCCATGAACAAGAGTGCACCCCCTTTTCCAATCGGTTAAGGGTCTTGGGATATTTGAGGTTAAGCGTCCTTGGGTGTGAATAGTACTGGGCTGGGTGACCTCCCGGGAAGTCCAAACTCATGAGCTTACATTTGGTATCGGAGCGGTCTCGGGTCCGACTCTGTTGGTTGGCTAGCACATGTTGATTGACATCTGGCTGGTCCAGTTTGCTCCCGCTGGGCTCGACCCAAGGGGTAGGGTGTCAAGAGAGCGAGGCTCTCGGGAGAGCTGCGGCTCTCAGCTTCTGTTCACGAGGGCATGAACTTGCAGGGAAGCGTGGTGGATTGTAAGCAACCAAAGGGAACGACTCGAGAGATGATCATTGGGGTTCAAATATAGAGGGAAAGGGCCCATGAACAAGAGTGCACCCCCTTTTCCAATCGGTTAAGGGTCTTGGGATATTTGAGGTTAAGCGTCCTTGGGTGTGAATAGTACTAGGCTGGGTGACCTCCCGGGAAGTCCAAACTCAGGAGCTTACACAAGTCTCTCTCCAATCATGGCCATGCTCACCAACACTACTATTGGGTTAGGGTTTAAAGGCCCGACCACTAAGTCTTATTGTCCTTTAGGACTTCTTCACTATGTGACCATATCCTTGGTCACTACGTAAGAGGACTATTCCTTTTCCTTTCTAGAGTTTAGAGCTTTGGGATGACATTTTCAAAATTCCGTGGCTCTATGTGAGCCTCGTAATAACTCTCCTCACCTTCTGCCCTTAGGTGCCCTAGCTATGTGGCTAGAGCAAGGTTTGGAAGAGCCACCCTAGGTATCCAAGTAGGTAATGCCACCCACACTTGGATTAGGAGTATTGACTATTTGATCTTCTGGGGGAGCTAAAGCCACCTCTTGAACACTTTACACCAAGTTACCCCATTTGTCTGTCCATATTCACTCTAGCTTTGGACTCCTTAGTGGTTATATTATCACTTGTGGGTATAGCCTTCCTTGGTCACACTAATTTTTCCTAGCTAAATTGGTTCCACTCAAGAAATGAGCATGAAGTAATCGATGAATGAGTCTCTAGAAAGGGACACAAGAAGGATTGACACATGGCAAGTGTTGTGACATATGGAAGTGTTAGGACCTAGTCCAAGATGGAGTTCAATAAGGAGTTTGAGATGGAGTTTGAGTTGGAGTATGAGAAGGAGTCTGAAATAGAGTTTGAGATTAGAGAGGTATATGCATTTTGCATCGTGATTTTCGCACAAAGGCATTTCCTGAGTCAGGAATTGAGATCAAGATTTCTCCCGGTCTAAATTCTTGACTTGGATGACTGGGCATGTAGTGGTTATATAGGCTGGTGATAGCACGCCAGACCTATCCCTTTTCTATCTTTTTATATCCTTGGCCATAATAACATACACTCCACTTGCTCAATATCTACTCTTCTCTTCCATGCCTATCTTACTCACTGCCTTCTGGGGATCAAGGCTGTGAGATGTGCATCAATCTCAGCATCAACATCTTTGCAACAGCACATGGCTAAGTATTTCTTTCCTTTTTATGTTTGGATCTAGTTTAGATTAGAGAGGATTCACAAGATCATTGTAGAGGTGATTTTGTAGTTTTCCACTTTGGCGACCACGGTGGGATAGGCGAAGTGAAGAGCACCCAAAGAACAAATACTGGAAGCCTTAGCCACAACTAAAAGAACAAGCCGAAGTCAAGAATCAAGGGAAAAGTCAAAAAGAAACAAAAAGAAGAAAATCGACAAAAATCTACAGCAAGAAGCATGGCAAACATGCTAGAGACCAAGCGCTTGAAGACTATGATCATCTAGTGATCGCCCACTTCTCAGAAAGTCCAAGCATCTTCCATAACCGCCTCTTGGCGAGAGGTTGATGACAAAGAATATTCTGCATAACAGAATATTTGAAGAATCTCCGACAAGAAATCAGAGCAAGCAAATGTTAACGAGCATGAAAACATAAAGAACCCTTGAAGATTAAAGCCACCCAAGTCGCAGAAAACTTGGGGTGTGAGCGTAATCGCTTTTAGTGAGAGGTTGAAGAAAACGAATATATCAAGAATCTGCGACAAAGAAACGACTAAAGAAAAATTCTAGCAGCTGGCGATGGAGGAAGAATGAAAAAGCACGACTACCCATTTGGAGATACAAGCTGTACAAGATACAAGGATTGTCTTTTGTGTGGTTTCAGAAATTGTGCAAAACCATACAAGCAATGCTATCCAAAATGGCAATGCAATACTTGCAAGCAAGCGAAAGAAAGACTCTGAATCAGGGATGAAAGTGCTACAGTAGAAGAGAGAAAGAAACGGGAAGCAATAGCCAAAGAAGATGACACTAAAAAGAGTAACGATAGTTTAGAAAAAGAAGAGAAACAAAGCTTTGGTTGCTTTCAAAAACTTCAAGAAACACTTTTGAGACTCTCTTACAAATTGTCTAGCAAATAGGAAGAATGCGAAAATGAGGAAATGTTGAAAGAAAAACATGTTTACTTCGATTTCTTTGCAACTCGAAGAACCCTGACTTGGGTGTATCGTGGACACATCTTTCAACAGACAATTATCGAATTCCTAGGCATACATAAACATGAAACTTTTCAACCATTAATGTTTGTTTTCAACACTGATTTGACGAGAGTTATAGCAGGAACAGAGTGTGGAACCATTAAACCACAAGTTCATTGGTTTGTTGACACACTTAGATTTAGGGATTTTGAAGAAAATGCAAAATTACTTTATCAACTTCTTTAAAGTCCTCTAGGTGTAACTCTACCAACAAGCACCCTTAACGAACTATACACTATAGCATATTGGCATCGTTTAGGATGGACAAGAATAGCTGGAGAATTAAGGAATCAAGAACAAGTCAATCAACAAATTCGAATTGAGAATTTGAGTTCAAGAAACCGACGGGAACCTCAACAACAATAAATTTTAGAAACGATTTTAAACAAGTACGACAAAGAGGATAAACAAATTCAAGTTGCCGAGTCGAGCAACCCAGTTAAAGATAACAAAGAACTGAATATCAAAGACACCCCAGAGTTTGAGACATTTGAAGAAGCAGAATACACAGCACCAGATTACTCAAATCCAGACTCGCCAGAACAACAACTCAACCAACAAAGTCTACAACCGCCTATGGCAATCATTAATCCGATGAGTACAATTGGAAGCATGGTTACATATCCAATTTTCACAGGAAGTAAGACAGAAGATTCAGAATTACATGTAAAACAATTCAACCAGATTGTCAAAATGAACAATCAAGAACAGCATCAAGACATACTTTTCCCATACACACTTAAAGGAAAAGCTCTTGAGTGGTATAATACTCTAGAGGATTTTGTACCACATGATGAGAAACTTGAACAATTCAAGGAACAATTACCAGCTGGAGGAACACCAGAGGAGCATTATGAGCACATTAAGAATATAAAACAGCAACCAAGGGAAGGAATTCAAGACTATACTAGACGATTCAAATTACA